GGGGGTTGGGGTGGGGGTTGTGCTCGGGTCCTGCCAGGCCGCAGCTTGTATCTTACCCCCTTCGTGAGGCACTGGGTTCTCGCAGGTGTAGATGCAGCCTGGCTGTTGTACTGTATCCTCTGGTCTCTCTTTTAGGAATAGTTGTATTTGTTGTATTTTCAAAAATATATATGGTTTTGGGAGGAGATTTCCGCTGCCCTACTCATGCCGCCACCTTGGCTCCTCTCTCACCACCTGTGTATTTTTAATGTTCAGGTTTTATCCCTGCTTTATACTCCAAACACTGAGCACCTCTTATACCTCTGGAATTATTCCAGTCTCTGGGGATTCAGGGATGAACAATGACACTGGAATGTAAGTTTCTTGAGGCAGAAAGTGGCCTCATGGTTCCCTGCAGTGAACTCACCAGTCTGACATCATGCTCTTGGCTTTGTTTCAGGGTTTCCTGGAGGAGACCTGCCTCTTTTACGGACATTACACCATTGATGGGGTGAAATTTCAGAACTTCACCTATGATCTACCCCTGGCTTATTTGTTAAGCACAATTGCTTACCTGGCCCTGAGCCTTCTTTGGGTAGTGAAAAGGTAAAAATTTTTCTTGTCATTATGTTCTTTTTGAATTACCCTTGATGGCTAAAGTTTGTTGAAGGTATATGGACTCTAGGAGCTATTACCCTAATGATGAGCAGAGCCTAGGGGTGGACTCTGTGAGAAAATGTTTGTGTGAGGGTGTTGGAGGTTGAGGAGACCTGGAGGAAATGGAGGCAGGACTTGGAAACTGGCGTAGCAGCCTGGACTTCTCCATCAGTTATTACTGCACATGTTCACCAATGCCATCCCTCCAACCTTATCTTTGACCTGGTGTGTATGCTAACCAGGTCTCTCTTGGTTTGCAGATAGCAGAAACCCAACTCTGACTACTAACTAGGGCACAGGGAAATTGAGTGGCTCAGAGAAATAAGGAAGGTATGGATGACTGATCACTTTAATTCCTTCCACTTTTATTGTCTTCACAACTCACTAGCAAATCCTAAAAATACCCTGATGCATCTACAGAGCATGTGGCATTTGATATTTTTCATATCATGAAGTGCCAAGGTGTATTTCTTCCATGGAAGCATTCGAACAAATGGCAATAATGAAGCAATCAAAAGAATGGCATCTGCTAAACAGATGCTCACTCAATATTTGCTTGTTTTATTATTTAAGTCATCAGTTCCTTCATTTATCCATTTATTGGATAAGGCCATAATATGGTCCAGGCATTTTGGATATAAAGTGGCAGGACAGCTAGGATATCTGCTCTCAAGGAATTTAAAATTAAGTCAGGGACAGGGGCTATAAGCAATAAAACACTTAAGTAAGATAACTGCGGATTAGGTTCATTGAGTTGAAGGCAAAGAGACTGACTTGAAATAGGAGTCACAACTTTAGATGGGGTGGTGAAGAATTCATGGAGGGGATATTTGAGCTGAAACCTAAATGATGGGAAGGATGCAGCCATAGGAAGAGGCAGGGAAAGAACTGTCCAGGAAAGGGTAGCAGGAACTGCAAGCGCAAAGGCCCTGAGGCAGGAGCAGAGATTCATGTGTTTATGGAGAGGAAGAAAAGCCAGTGTAGTTAGAGCAGAGTGGCCACACAGAAGGAAAGATGGCATCACACAAAACCTCTAGGCTGTGTTAAAGAGTTTGGATTTTATTCTGTTAAAGGAGCCACTGGATGGATGAAAAGAAATGATTTTCAACAATAAGAAGCCTGGTTAGGTGCCACATACATTTAGAATGTTTCAAAACTTGACCATGTCAAAATAGGTGAAAAGTGCAGCCATGTTAATTTTAGACAAAGCCAATCCAAGGGCCTGTATTTTGCTGTTCTTATAAGAAGGATAATCGTGTTTTGGGGTCAGGTCAGTGGAAGGGTTCAAAATCAACCTGATCCAGAGTGAGGAGCACTTTCAGAGTTACTGCAACAAGATCTTTGCCGGCTGGGACTTCTGCATCACCAACCGCAGCATGGCGGACCTGAAGCACAGCAGCCTGCGGTACGAGCTCCAAGTGAGTGCTGCTGGGTTTTCTCCCGGTGGGTTCCCTGCCAGCAAGGGCATGTTTTGAGAGGTGGGGTTGCAGCTTGCAGAGAAGCCAGATGGGGGCCAGGCTGTCCCCAGTGCTTAGCAGGCTTCTCCCAGGTTGTTTTTAAGAGTTTTTGCAGAGAACATCTTCCTGGGGTTGATCATCTTTTGCCTAAGCATGAACCTAGTGAACGGTGGCTAGGAAGGAAGGTAGGGACACAATAGTGGGTGGGAGGAGATGGTGTCCTCCCTCCTCCCTCTACTGCCTTATACTGTTATTTTTCCACCTGATAAGAACCTGTCATACATCACAGGAGAAACAGGACTGAGGGGGAATGCTATGATGGTAAGGCAGAGTGGAGAATACCAAAAAGTACAATTTCCAAATAAATAAGGAGAATAATAAATAGCATCTTGATCAAACCTACCAAAACAAAAAGGGAGGAGGAAACAATTATATCAAAAGTTTAATAAAGAAATGTGGAAGGAATCAAATCAAATGTATTATTTGTTTAAAGAAATAATGTATGTCATGAATTGGTTATCATTATATTTTCCCACTTACTGCAAAATCTAACTGCAGTCTTAAATAGGAGGTTCTACCAGACTTGGGCCTTCAGTGGACATGAAAACTAGTTGGGCTTGGTTTGGGAAGGTACCTGCGGGGAGGCGAATATTTCAGGAAAGTCTTAAAGATGGATAGGGAGGGTATTCATCAAGTGCCACCCCTTACCATCCCTTCCTCCGCCCCTGCTCCTCACAAACGAGTTTTCTTTGGCCTTCAGGCAGATTTGGAGGAAGAAAGAATACGGCAGAAAATAGCAGAAAGGACCTCAGAAGAAACAATACGGATTTACTCTTTGAGACTGTTTTTGAACTGTATTGTTCTGGCTGTTCTAGCAGCATGCTTTTATGCAATCTACAGAGCAACTATATTCTCACAGGAACACATGAAGAAAGTAAGCACTCTGTGAAAGTCAGCTTAGCTTTTATTCTAGTTGGACGTTACGTATGCTAAGTGGTTGCAGACCTCTGAGGTAGATACTATCATCACTGCTGTTTTACATATGGGGATGTAAGTTTGGCTGATATGACAGAGAACAGAAAATGAAAGATGACCAATTTTCACTTTAAATAGAAATAAAAAAGCATCCAAAATAAAGCATTTGGAATTCCTCCTGGAATCCACAATATTCAAATCTAGGCTTGACTGCCTGGATTTAATCCCCAGCTCTACTACTTATTAGCAAGGGCCTCCATTTACCTAAAATAACAATGGTTTTAAAAATCGAAGTTGGTCTAGTGGCTCTGCTTCATGAAATTAATCATCAGAGGCCCAGGTTCCTTCCTTCCTTGTGGCTCTGCCATCCTTAGGATGTGCATTCTTTGAAATGATACAAGATAGCTCACCACATCCATATCCTAGCTAATGGGAAGAAGTGAAGAAGACAGGGAAGGCACACCTCTCTACTCCAGAGGCATGACCCAGAGATTGTACATAAAACTTCAGCTTACATCCCTTTGGCCAAAATTTAGTCAAATGGCTGTACCTAGCTAAAAGGAAGTCCAGGAAATTTAGTTTTATCCCACACAGCCATATATGTGATTAAATAATCTATTACTCTGAGGGAATTCCAAGTCAATTAGTACTACATACTTTAAAACAGTTTAAATTGCCCATCGACACAGAATACATGGATTTGTAAAATACTTCATTGTTTAGATCGTGGTTCCTGTATTTGAACATCGAAGGGGATGCTTATGTTTAGGGGCCCTGTTGAATGCATATATGTTTTGTTTTGCTTGTTTGCTAAACATGTATAGGGTTTTTTTCTTCCCATTTTATTGAAATATAATTGACATACAACACTGTGTAAATTTAAAGCACACATGTGAAAAGTGCAGCCATGTTAATTTTAGACAAAGCCAATCCAAGGGCCTGTATTTTGCTGTTCTTATAAGAAGGATAATCGTGTTTTGGGGTCAGGTCAGTGGAAGGGTTCAAAATCAACCTGATCCAGAGTGAGGAGCACTTTCAGAGTTACTGCAACAAGGTCTTTGCCGGCTGGGACTTCTGCATCACCAACCGCAGCATGGCGGACCTGAAGCACAGCAGCCTGCGGTACGAGCTCCAAGTGAGTGCTGCTGGGTTTTCTCCCGGTGGGTTCCCTGCCAGCAAGGGCATGTTTTGAGAGGTGGGGTTGCAGCTTGCAGAGAAGCCAGATGGGGGCCAGGCTGTCCCCAGTGCTTAGCAGGCTTCTCCCAGGTTGTTTTTAAGAGTTTTTGCAGAGAACATCTTCCTGGGGTTGATCATCTTTTGCCTAAGCATGAACCTAGTGAACGGTGGCTAGGAAGGAAGGTAGGGACACAATAGTGGGTGGGAGGAGATGGTGTCCTCCCTCCTCCCTCTACTGCCTTATACTGTTATTTTTCCACCTGATAAGAACCTGTCATACATCACAGGAGAAACAGGACTGAGGGGGAATGCTATGATGGTAAGGCAGAGTGGAGAATACCAAAAAGTACAATTTCCAAATAAATAAGGAGAATAATAAATAGCATCTTGATCAAACCTACCAAAACAAAAAGGGAGGAGGAAACAATTATATCAAAAGTTTAATAAAGAAATGTGGAAGGAATCAAATCAAATGTATTATTTGTTTAAAGAAATAATGTATGTCATGAATTGGTTATCATTATATTTTCCCACTTACTGCAAAATCTAACTGCAGTCTTAAATAGGAGGTTCTACCAGACTTGGGCCTTCAGTGGACATGAAAACTAGTTGGGCTTGGTTTGGGAAGGTACCTGCGGGGAGGCGAATATTTCAGGAAAGTCTTAAAGATGGATAGGGAGGGTATTCATCAAGTGCCACCCCTTACCATCCCTTCCTCCGCCCCTGCTCCTCACAAACGAGTTTTCTTTGGCCTTCAGGCAGATTTGGAGGAAGAAAGAATACGGCAGAAAATAGCAGAAAGGACCTCAGAAGAAACAATACGGATTTACTCTTTGAGACTGTTTTTGAACTGTATTGTTCTGGCTGTTCTAGCAGCATGCTTTTATGCAATCTACAGAGCAACTATATTCTCACAGGAACACATGAAGAAAGTAAGCACTCTGTGAAAGTCAGCTTAGCTTTTATTCTAGTTGGACGTTACGTATGCTAAGTGGTTGCAGACCTCTGAGGTAGATACTATCATCACTGCTGTTTTACATATGGGGATGTAAGTTTGGCTGATATGACAGAGAACAGAAAATGAAAGATGACCAATTTTCACTTTAAATAGAAATAAAAAAGCATCCAAAATAAAGCATTTGGAATTCCTCCTGGAATCCACAATATTCAAATCTAGGCTTGACTGCCTGGATTTAATCCCCAGCTCTACTACTTATTAGCAAGGGCCTCCATTTACCTAAAATAACAATGGTTTTAAAAATCGAAGTTGGTCTAGTGGCTCTGCTTCATGAAATTAATCATCAGAGGCCCAGGTTCCTTCCTTCCTTGTGGCTCTGCCATCCTTAGGATGTGCATTCTTTGAAATGATACAAGATAGCTCACCACATCCATATCCTAGCTAATGGGAAGAAGTGAAGAAGACAGGGAAGGCACACCTCTCTACTCCAGAGGCATGACCCAGAGATTGTACATAAAACTTCAGCTTACATCCCTTTGGCCAAAATTTAGTCAAATGGCTGTACCTAGCTAAAAGGAAGTCCAGGAAATTTAGTTTTATCCCACACAGCCATATATGTGATTAAATAATCTATTACTCTGAGGGAATTCCAAGTCAATTAGTACTACATACTTTAAAACAGTTTAAATTGCCCATCGACACAGAATACATGGATTTGTAAAATACTTCATTGTTTAGATCGTGGTTCCTGTATTTGAACATCGAAGGGGATGCTTATGTTTAGGGGCCCTGTTGAATGCATATATGTTTTGTTTTGCTTGTTTGCTAAACATGTATAGGGTTTTTTTCTTCCCATTTTATTGAAATATAATTGACATACAACACTGTGTAAATTTAAAGCACACAGCATAAAGACCTAACAAATGTATAGTTAAGATGGTTCTTTTAAGGCCAATTCATTTGTGATGCAGCTTCCCTTACTATCTTCTGACCAGTTTTGTTTTCTTCAAAGGAAATTGACAAGATGGTTTTTGGAGAGAACCTCTTGATATTGTACCTGCCTTCTATTGTGATCACATTGGCCAATTTTATCACCCCAGTGATCTTTGCCAAGATCATCCACTATGAGGATTATTCCCCGGGCTTTGAGATCCGGCTGACAATCCTTAGGTAATGCCTAGACATACCAAATAGGTCACCACTTGCTCCTCCCTTTCTCTTGACAGACATTGCTAATCAATTGTGGCATCTTTTTCTGTTGAGCCAAGAATCCTCTTCAACCTTCAGACAGCCCCATCAGTGAATCACAGTTTACACATGCAGTGCAATCTCTTTGACTTAGGTGTCTACTCAACAGTATCATATTTCTGGTTCATGTGTCAGCCAACTGAGGGAGTAAGGTAGGACCATAGGAGGAGGTGTTGCACTGAAGATGTTAGAAATGACAAGTACATACCACCGGGGAAGTGAAGAAGTAAGGGAGAGGAGAGGAGGCAGTTGATAAAGGGTGTGTTACCGGCCAAGTTGCTGCTCTGGTGACTGGGGCTCAGTCCTACTGAGTAATTCTGGGAGTTTCTGTGGGAAATATCTTTTGAGTTTTCTCACTTAAGAAGATACTCATCCTCTACTATCTAAGGGTGCCTGGGACTCAGAGGCATTAACTCCCCCATACTTCCACCCTACCACCCTGGTGCATGAGAGTCACAAATGCTTGCAATAGAAGCCGGAAGCATATGCTGGAATAGTGAGTGCACAGAAAATGTGGCCAGGTCCCGGACTGTGTGTACTACAGTTGACTCATTATGATTTGTTGCAATAGCTCTTCTCATGCTAAATAAATAAGCAGTTTCATAAGAAATAATGACATGTATAAAGCAGGGTCCAGGGTGTTCTCATGAAGAGTACCAGGTAGGGATGTGTAATATTGGAGTGTTTTCTTTCTGCTTTTAAAATACCTCAGATGACATTTACATAATTTCCTTCCTCCCTCCCTTCCTCCCTCCCCCCTTCCTCCCTCCTCCTTTCTTCTTTCCTTCCTTCCTTTCTTCCTTCCTTTCCTTCTTCCCTCCCTCCTTCCTTCCTTTCTTTTGGTATCATTAATATAAAATCACATGGGCAACATTGTGGTTACTAAATTACACCCATTATCAAGTCCCCACAACATACCCCATTACAGTCACTGTCCATCAGAGTAGTAAGATGCTATAGAGTCACTACTTGTCTTCTCAGTGCTATGAGTTCCCCATGCACCCCTCATGTTATGTGTGCTAATTGTAATGCCCCTTATTCCCCTTATCCCTCCCTTCCCACCTAACCCCGCCCAGTCCCTTTCCCTTTGGCAACTGTTGGTCCATTCTTAGGTTCTGTGAGTCTGCTGCTGTTTTGCTCCTTCAGTTTTTGCTTTGTTCTTATGCTCCACAGATGAGTGAAATTATTTGGTCTTTCTCCGCCTGGCTTATTTCACTGAGCATAATATACCCTCTAGCTCCGTCCATGTTGCAAATGGTAGGATTTGTTTCCTTCTTATAGCTGATAATATTCCATTGTGTATATGTACCACATCTTCTTTATCCATTCATCTACTGATGAACACTTAGGTTGCTTCCATTTCCTGGCTATTGTAAATAGTGCTGTGATAAACATAGGTGTGCATATGTCTTTTTCAAACTGGCGTCCTACATTCTTAGGGTAAATTCCTACAAGTGGAATTACTGGGTGAAATGGTATTTCTATTTTGAGTTTTTTGAGGAACCTCCATACTGCTTTCCACAATGGTTGAACTAATTTACATTCCCACCAGCAGTGTAGGAGGCTTCCCCTTTCTCCGCAAACTCGCCAACGTTTGTTGTTGTTTGTCTTTTGGATGGTGGTGATCCTTACTGGTGTGAGGTGATATCTCATTGCAGTTTTAATTTGTATTTCTCTGATGACTAGCAATGTGGAGCATCTTTTCATGTGTCTGTTGGCCATCTGAATTTCTTCTTTGGAGAACTGTCTGTTCAGCTCCTTTTACCTTTTTTTTATTGGATTATTTGCTTTTTGTTTGTTGAGGTGTGTGAGCTCTTTATATATTTTGGATGTCAACCCTTTATTGGATCTGTCACTTATGAAAATATTCTCCCATATTGCAGGATGCCTTTTTGTTCTATTGATGGTGTCCTTTGCTGTACAGAAGCTTTTCAGCTTGATATAGTCCCACTTGTTCATTTTTGCTTTTGCTTCCCTTGCCCAGGGAGATATGTTCATGAAGAAGTCACTCATGTTTATGTTCAAGAGATTTTCGTCTGTGTTTTTTTCTGAGTTTTATGGTTTCATGACTTACATTCAGGTCTTTGGTCCATTTCAAGTTTACTTTTGTGTATGGGGTTAGACAGTAATCCAGTTTCATTCTCTTACATGTAGCTGTCCAGTTTTGCCAACACCAGCTGTTGAAGAGGCTGTCATTTCCCCATTGTATATCCATGGCACCTCTATTGTATATTAATTGACCATATATGCTTGGGTTAATATCTGGACTCTGTATTCTGTTCCACTCATCTATGGGTCTGTTCTTGTGCCAGTATCAAATTTCTTCATTACTGTGGCTTTGTAGTAGAGCTGAAGTTGGGAAGCAAGATCCCCCCCTGCTTTATTCTTCCTTCTCAGGATTGCTTTGGCTATTTGGGGTCTTTTGTGGTTCCATATGAATTTTATAACTATTTGTTCTAGTTCGTTGAAGAATGCTGTTGGTATTTTGATAGGGATTGCATTGAATTTGTAGATTGCTCTAGGCAGGATGGCCATTTTGACAATATTGATTCTTCCTATCCATGATCACAGAATGTGTTTCCATTTATTGGTATCTTCTTTAATTTCTCTCATGACTATCTTGTAGTTTTCAGAGTATATGTCTTTCACTTCCTTTGTTAGGTTTATTCCTAGGTATTTTATTCATTTTGATGCAATTGGGAATGGAATTGTTTTCTGATTTCCCTTTATCCTAGTTCATTGTTAGTATATAGGAATGCAACAGATTTCTGTTATTAATTTTATATCCTGTGACTTTGCTGAATTCAGTTTATTAGATCTAGTAGTTTTGGAGTGGATTCTTTGGATTTGTTATGTACAATATCATGTTATCTGCAAATAGGGGCATTTTAATCTCTTCCTTGCCAATCTGGATGCCTTTTATTTCTTTGTGTTGTCTGATTGCCGTGGCTAAGATCTCCAGTACTATGTTGAATAAAAGTGGGGAGAGTGGGCATCCTTGTCCTGTTCCCAATCTTAAAGGAAAAGCTTTCAGCTTCTCGCTGTTAAGTATGATGTTGGCTGTGGGTTTGTCATATATGGCCTTTACTATGTTGAGGTACTTGCCCTCTATACCCATTTTGTTGAGAGTTTTTATCATGAATGAATGTTGAACTTTGTCAAATGCTTTTTCAGTGTCTATGGAGATGATCATGTGGTTTTTGTCCTTCTTTTTGTTGATGTGGTGGATGATGTTGATGGATTTTCGAATGTTGTACCATCCTTGCATCCCTGTGATGAATCCCACTTGGTCATGGTGTATGATCCTCTTGATGTATTTTTGAATTCAGTTTGCTAATTTTTTGTTGAGTATTTTTGCATCTATGTTCATCAGGGATATTGGTCTGTAATTTTCTTTTTTTGTGGTGTCTTTGCCTGGTTTTGGTATTAGAGTGATGCTGGCTTCATAGAATGAGTTTGGGAGTATTCCCTCCTCTTCTATTTTTTGGAAAACTTTAAGGAGAATGGTATTATGTCTTCTCTAAATGTCTGATAAAATTCAGCAGTGAATCCTTCTGATCCAGGGGTTTTGTTCTTGGGTAGTTTTTTGATTACCGATTCAATTTCATTGCTGGTAATTGGTCTGTGTAGATTTTCTGTTTCTTCCTTGGTCAGTCTTGGAAGGTTGTATTTTTCTAGAAAGTTGCCCATTTTCTTCTAGCTTATCCAGTTTGTTAGCATATAGATTTTCATAGTATTCTCTAATATTCTTTGTATTTCTGTGGTGTCCGTAGTGATTTTTCCTTTCTCATTTCTGATTCTGTTTATGTGTGCAGACTCTTTTTTTTTTCTTGATAAGTCTGGCTAGGGGTTTATCTATTTTGTTTATTTTCTGAAGGAAGCCGCTCCTGCTTTCATTGATACTTTCTATTCTTTCATTATTCTCAATTTTATTCATTTCTGCTCTGATCTTTATTATGTCTCTCCTTATACTGACTTTGGGCCTTATTTGTTCTTCTTTTTCTAGTTTCGTTAACTGTGAGTTTAGACTGTTCATATGGGATTGTTCTTCTTTCCTGAGGTAGGCCTGTATTGCAATATACTTCCCTCTTAGGATGGTCTTTGCTGCGTCCCACAGATTTTGCAGTGTTGAATTATTGTTGTCATTTGTCTTCTATATTGCTTGATCTCTGTTTTTATTTGGTCATTGATCCATTGATTATTTAGGAGCATGTTGTTAAGCCTCTATGTGTTTGTGGGCTTTTTGTTTTCTTTGCACAATTTATTTCTAGTTTCATACCTCTGTGGTCTGATAAGTTGCATGGTACAATTTCAATCCTTCTGAATTTATTGAGGCTCTTTTTGTGGCCTACTGTGTGATCTATTCTGGAAAATGTTACATGTGCACTTAAGAAGAATATGTATCCTGCTGCTTGAGTGGTGTGTTCTGTAGATGTCTGTTAGGTCCATCTGTTCTAATGTGTTGTTCAGTGCCTCTGTCTCCTTACTTATTTTCTGTCTGGTTGATCTGTCCTTTGGAGTGAGTGGTGTGTTGAAGTCTTCTAAAATGAATGTGTTGCTTTCTATTTCCTTCTTTAATTCTGTTAGTATTTGTTTCACATATGTAGGTGCTCCTGTGTTGGCTGCATAGATATTTATAATGATTATATCCTTTTGTTGGACTGACCCTTTATCATTATGTAATGTCCTTCTTTGTCTCCTGTTATTTTCTTTGTTTTGAAGTCTATTTTGTCTGGTAAAAATACTGTAACTCCTGCTTTTTTCTCCCTATTAGTTGCACAAAATATATTTTTCCATCCCTTCACTTTTATTCTGTGTATGTCTTTGGGTTTGAATCAAGTCTCTTGTAGGCAACGTATAGAGGGGTCTTGTTTTTTTATCCATTCAGTGACTCTATGTCTTTTGATTGGTACATTCAGACCATTTACATTTGGTGTGATTATTGATAGGTATGTACTTACTGCCATTGCAAAATTTAGATTCGTGATTACCAGTGGTTCAAGGGTAACTGCCTCACTATCTAACAGTCTAATTTAACTCACTTAGTGTGCTATCACAAACACAATCTAAAGGTTCTTTTTTTTTCTTCCTCCTCTATTCTTTATATATTAGGTATCATATTCTGTACTCTTTGTCTATCCCTTGACTGACTTTGGGGGTGGTTGATTTGATTTTCTATCTGCATAGGAATTATTTGTTCTATTTTCTTTACTGTAGTTTTATTTCCTCTGGGGACAGCAATTTACCCTTAGGAACACTTCCATCTATAGTGGTCCATCGAAAATTCACCATAGAAACAGTTTGTAGGAGGTAAATTCTCTCTGTTTTTGCTTATCTAAAAATTAATCCATCCTTCAAATTTAAATGATAATCTTGCTGGTAGAGTATTCTTGGTTTGAGGCCCTTCTGCTTCATTGCATTAAATATGTCATGCTACTCCCTTCTGTCCTGTAAGGTTTCTGCTGAGAAGTCTGATGATAGCCTGATGGGTTTTCCTTTGTATGTGATCTTTTGTCTCTCCCTGGCTGCTTTTAATATTCTGTCCTTATCCTTAATCTTGCCATTTTAATTATTATATGTCTTGTTGTTGTCTTTCTTGGGTCCCTTGTGTTGGGAGATCTGTGCCCCTCCATGGCCTGAGAGACTATGTCCTTTCCCACATTAAGGAAGTTTTCAGCAATTACGTCCTCAAAGACACTTTCTTCCCTTTTTCTCTTCTACTTCTGGTAACCTTATAATGTGAAAATTGTTCCATTTGGATTGGTCACACAGTTCTCTCAATATTCTTTCATTTCTAGAGATCCTTTTTTCTCTTTGTGCCTCAGCTTCTTTGTATTCTTGTTCTCTAATTTCTATTTCATTTACTGTCTCCTCTACTTCATCTAATCTGCTTTTAAATCCCTCCATTGTATGTTTCATTTCAGATACTCTTTTCTCTAATGATTGAATCTCATTCCTGAATTCTTCCCTGAGTTCTTGAATATTTTTCTGTACCTTCATGAGCATGTTTATGATTTTTATTTTGAAATCTCTTTCAGGAAGATTGATGAGTTCAGTTTCACTTGGCCCTCTCCTCGTGTTTGTGGGATTTTGGTTTGAAGTAGGTTCCTTTAACGTTTCATATTTGTAGGTGGCACCATCTAGTGCCCCAAAGCTCTACTCTCTGGACCTGCTCAGCCTCTGGAGCAATGTCAGGGATGGCAGGGGAGTGGCACTGTTGGGAGGAAATAAGTCTTTCCTGTTTCCTGGCTGCAGTGCCTGTTTCCATTGCCAGGGCCAGTGGGCCAAGCATGCAGGTAGAAGCCTCTATACTTAGCTCTTGTAGCTGCCATGGGCAAGGCCTCCCTCTGGCTGACCTGGCACCAGGAAAGGGACAGCGGTTTGCAAGCTGGTGCCAGCGAGGAGGAAGGTGCAGCTGGTTGCATATCATGGTGGGAGGCCTTGGAGCTGTGTAGCCAGGCAGGGGGATGGACTGCCTGAAGCTCCTGAATGTTCCCAACCTGCTGGTCAGAGTGCACCTGGACAATTTTGTCCACCTGCCCTTTCTCATGAGCAGCAAGCTCTGTGCAATCCTTGCCCCTTTAGCAGCCCTCTCACTGTTAGGAAGTTTCTCAGACTGCCCGCCTTTCTTTTGTCCCCAAGCGGCCAGATGTGGCTCCCTGTTTTCCACAAGCAGCTGGAATCTCAGTCTCTCCAAGTATTCTGCCTGTCTTAGCTTTCCAACCCCCTAGTCTCCAGAACACCATGTAATGTAGGTTTGTGCTCCCAGAGCAGATCTCCACAGTTGGGTGTTCAGCAGTCCCAGGCTTCCAGCCCCTCCCCACTCCATTTCTCTTCCTCCCACCAGTGGGTCCCGCTGGATCACAGCTGTGGTACATCACCTTGTTCCATGAGGTCTGTTCTTTTCCCCAGGTGTATGCACTCTGGCACAGCCTTCTTTTCTTTTGTTCTTTCAGGATTAGTTGTATTAACTATATTTTCATATTATATGTGTTTTGGGGAGTAGGTTTCCCTCTCACCTCTCATACCGCCATCTTTATTCCCTCCCCTCTCATGGCTTCCCATTATAGCCATTTTTAAGTGTACAATTAAGTGGCATTCAGTTCATTCTCAATGTTGTGCCACCATCACCACTGTCCATTTCCAGAACTTTCTCAAAACCCCAAATAGAAATTCTGTACCATTGTGGGTTTGGGTTTAAGCTTCCGCTCTCTAGTCCCAGTTCCAAGGGCCAGCATGTCCTGACACCTCCTCTTCCCATCCTCTTTTCCATGCAGGTGTGTCTTTATGCGTCTGGCCACCATCTGTGTGCTGGTATTCACCCTGGGCTCCAAGATTACATCCTGTGATAACTACACATGTGAGCTCTGTGGCTACAACCAGAAATTCTACCCGGTGAGCTGCAGGGATGGCAGCATCCTGTTGGGTTGGCCATTTAGGGGTACAGGCTCAAGGTCAAAAGAACAGCCCTTGAAGCTATGGGTGTGAATCCCCGTTGATCTGCTTTTTCACTGTGCAGCAGAATCTGGCACACCAGGGACTTCTAAGGGGATGAAAGCCACAGTGTGCTAGAGCTCAAGCAGAAATCAGCTCATGGTCTCCACAGGCAGCAGGATCTGGAGATGGAAAGTGCATTGGCAGGAGTCTGGCTTTCTCTGCCCCAAGTCAGGTCTCATTTTCTCTCAATCTTTTTGGTTTCAGTGCTGGGAGACCCAAGTTGGACAGGAAATGTACAAGCTGATGATCTTTGACCTCATCATCATCTTGGCTGTGATACTTTTTGTGGATTTTCCTAGAAAGTAAGTGTAACAGACACTCCTCTTGTCTCCCTGACCCCTTTCACACTGTCCTGTCTCCCCACTGGAAGCTCCCATCACAGCTGCTCTTCACAAAGTGCTGATTGATTCCACAGTCCCTGGAAAGCACCAATGATCATCCAGCAACTTTCAAACAGCCTGAGACCATTGACCCCACAGTCCATTAGGTACTCCCTTGAAAAGGAGCACTGACCCCATAGTCCATTAGGTGCTCCCTTGAAAGGCACCATGAAGACATGAAATGGCACTGCTTTTGATGAAGCTTCCATGGGGATGACTTCCTGCCATTTGCACAGCCACCATCAGTACAGACCCTCGAGGTTCAATTCGCAGCACTGACACTCATGGGTTATGTGACCTAGGACAAGTTATTTAAGCATCTATGTATTTTCCCACCTGTGACATGGGATAGTAACAGTACCCACTTCATAGCATTGCTGTGAGGATTAAATGAGAAAGTGCAGATAAAAGTACTGAGAATACTCCATGCCACAGAACTCAACAAAATGTTAACTATGGCATCATGACTGTTGTTACTGTTCCTTCATTCCTATAATGATTCTCAGCATTTCCTTGAGCCTTAGGTGAAATGCAGTTCACTTAATCATGTTGTACCTAGATGTACAAATTAACAAGGGATCTCACAGATCCAGTAAGCCCTTAAAAATAAACACTAAAAAATAAACTGTCTTTTTAAAAAAATTACACAACTATAACATGGATGTGTGCTTATGAAACCATAAATATTTAGAATCTAAACACATAGAGAAGTCTTAGTGCTGATTGATTCCACAGTCCCTGGAAAGCACCAATGATCATCCAGCAACTTTCAAACAGCCTGAGACCATTGACCCCACAGTCCATTAGGTACTCCCTTGAAAAGGAGCACTGACCCCATAGTCCATTAGGTGCTCCCTTGAAAGGCACCATGAAGACATGAAATGGCACTGCTTTTGATGAAGCTTCCATGGGGATGACTTCCTGCCATTTGCACAGCCACCATCAGTACAGACCCTCGAGGTTCAATTCGCAGCACTGACACTCATGGGTTATGTGACCTAGGACAAGTTATTTAAGCATCTATGTATTTTCCCACCTGTGACATGGGATAGTAACAGTACCCACTTCATAGCATTGCTGTGAGGATTAAATGAGAAAGTGCAGATAAAAGTACTGAGAATACTCCATGCCACAGAACTCAACAAAATGTTAACTATGGCATCATGACTGTTGTTACTGTTCCTTCATTCCTATAATGATTCTCAGCATTTCCTTGAGCCTTAGGTGAAATGCAGTTCACTTAATCATGTTGTACCTAGATGTACAAATTAACAAGGGATCTCACAGATCCAGTAAGCCCTTAAAAATAAACACTAAAAAATAAACTGTCTTTTTAAAAAAATTACACAACTATAACATGGATGTGTGCTTATGAAACCATAAATATTTAGAATCTAAACACATAGAGAAGTCTGGAAATAGTAAGAGTTCTCTTTTGTCACTGTCCCCCTAGATTCCCAGTTCCACCCTACTCCGTAGAGGTGGTCACTGCTAACACTTTGGGGTAGACCAGGCAGTCCTTAATAAAAACACACATCTATATAAATACATGTATAAGTAACTACACAGTCTTGCTGGAAGCATTTCTCCCCCCATAAATGGGATCACTGTACATTCAACACTGGTGCACACTTGCTTATCCCTCATACAAACAAAATATCATGAACAATCTTCCATGTCAAGACACATGGATTTTCCTCATTTGTTTTAGGACCATATAATATTCCACTGTATCCATGGCTTATAGTTTGTCAATGTAGCCCCTACTGATGGGCATTTATGTTGTTTCCAGGAGTTTGGCTAACATGTAGCAATGCTACAGTGAACAACTATGAGTGTTTATCTCAGGCCCCTGGTTCTAGGGTTGCTGTAGGAAGCTTCCAGGATTCTGGAAAGTGGCATACTAGGGGGCAGGGTCCTCATAAGCTGCTTTCCATTTGGATGCACATTACTTATTGGGCTGAGTGGCAAGCCAGAGCACAGAGACTGCCCATGTCATTTATTGTCACAACCTGGTAAAGTCCCTCCACATTCCACATTTCAGATGAGAAAAATGAGCCTTATCTTTATTAGGCTGGTAAGCTGTGAATCTCCACCCAGATCCTGGCCCTAAGGATTGCAGAGTTCAGTATATATTCTGCATCTTCTAGACCAACCAGTTTCCATGAGAAATATATGTGGAAAAACCCTGATTTTGTGGATGGGTTCTGTGGCTTTGGCAAGCCTAGATGAGAAATTGTCCTGTTTGTTTCCAGACTTCTAGTGACCTACTGTTCTTCTTCAAAGCTGATTCAGTGCTGGGGGCAGCAGGAATTCGCTATTCCTGATAATGTTCTGGGGATTGTTTATGGGCAAACCATTTGCTGGATTGGAGCTTTCTTCTCACCTCTTCTCCCTGCAATTGCAACCTTGAAATTCATTATCATCTTTTATGTGAAGGAGGTAAGGAGATGTGGAAATGAGGGTGCTGATACCCTGGACCAATAAGGCATTTGGCATGCATATGTTTGGAGCCCACCTGCATCTCATAAGATGCATCAAAATTACATCCCTTATTTGATAAATATTTGTATTCAGGAAAAAAGACTTAGAATGGATTTTCACCTTTTTATAATTTTGAGACTTTTGTTAGGAAGTGTTTTGCATCTGTGATTTACGTGTTGATTTTAAATCTTAACTAAGAGTTGAGTTGCAATTGATCAATCCATTGATGGTGGTACATTTTGGTGATGTTGAATTGAAATGTTTATTAATCTAAATTTTATGATTTTCTGTTTGGATTTCAGAGCTATTGCATTTATTTTCAAGTCTCAGTTATTTGTGTAGCTCCTTGAACAGCTCATAGGCCCTAGACGTTAGACCTGAAGTAAGTGCTTAACAGGTGAACTGGCCCTGTAGATGACTAGCTTATCTGGGCTTATAACTGAACTTTTTTATTCATTATAGAGGCTACAAATACTCAGTATTAAACATTTAAACAATACAGATGTGTATACAGTAACCTGCTTCAAGAGGTATCCTGTTAACAAACCCAACATTTATTGGATACCTATTGCCAAGTTCTGAGGATTCAGAAATGGAAATAGTAAGTCATAACAATGACAGTAGTAACAACAGATGATAATGCCATATGCTCCCACTCTGCTGAACACTTTACACAAATTATCATGTAATGCTAACACACATCCTTTGAAGTAGGTACTACTATTAACCATATCTTATAAATTAAGAGGCTGAAGTTTAGAGAAGTAAAGTACCTGGCCAAGGTCACACAGCTTAAAAGTGACTGCTTGGATTTGAACCCAGGTTTACGTCACTCCAGAGCCTAAGCTCTTAACCGAGTAACTAGGGCCTTGAATTGAGCCATACTTTCTTCCAGATGTTCTGGCCTTTGAAGAATGTTCTGATGTATTCATTTGGAAACTTCAGTTGGCTGAAGTCAGCAAGAAGAGATGCATATGTAAAAGTACATAGGAACTTTTTCCCTTTCCAGAAAATATTGGTTAGCCAGTGGTTTCCCAGTGTAGCATAAGAAAAGACAGTGTGGGGGTAATGGGCTGGATCATGGGCACTGGACTGAGTCCTGAAACTCCAGGCCTGACTAGCTGGCTCTGTCCAGACAGGACACTTGGTCCTGACACCCAGTTTCCTCTGGCTCCCAAGATGTTCCGGTACTGCTGGAGTCAGAAGAATTTGATGCTCCTCTCCCAGTAATGTAGCTTTTTAAAATATTGAGGAGAAAGTTGATGCCTTTTACCAGCTCCCTATCTGCTTCCCTACTTGGAGTCTTTTTTTCCCCTCAATGGAACTATTTATTTTTAATATGTAGGAACAATAAATATGCTTGTAAAAATTCAAGCAAACTAATCTTAATTTGTTAAATATTATTGTAGATCCTTTCACTTTTTAATCCTTTCACTGTATATGTATGCCAAGTCATCACATTGTACAGTTGAAATATCTTATAGTTTTGTCAATTATATCTCAATAAAGTTGAAAAACTTTACAATAAAATGTTTTGAAAATACTTTATCTTAAAACTTAAATGAGATCATATGACACAGAGTTATGAAATCTTCCCCTTTCATTTCACAGTGCCACATGGGATGTAAAACTTTCTCGCATCCTCTCTAAGAGAGACATGATATTGCATTGTGTGGATGCCCTTTAACCTAAGGAACCCCTGTTGATAGCTATTTAGGTTGTTTCCAGTTATTCCATTATTAACAACTGTAGCAGTAAACATCTGTATACATGTAGTTTGGCCCATCTTCCCTGTTTTCTCATCAGGATGAATTCCCCAATGTTGGGATCTGGATTAAACATTTTTTATTTTGATCTGTACTACTGATTACCCTTAGAAAGGTTATACCAATTTATATTCCCACTGTAATATGTGAATATGCTCATAAATCCTAATGAAAGCTGAATTCAATTGCTCTTAAATTTTTCTCTTTCTTTCCCCTTAGATGAGTCTTCTTTATACCTGTAGACCCTCCCCGAGGCAGTTCAGAGCATCCAATTCTAATTTCTTCTTCCTATTGGTGTTGTTGATTGGACTGTGTTTGGCGATAATACCTCTAACAATCAGCATGGCACGGTAAATGCAACTTTGTTTTCTAGAACATTTCCTTGTTTCTTTGACCCATCCCTCTTTATGTTAAAGGATTCCCTGCATTCTTTATTGGCTTTCCTCACAGTGTTCCACCCCCAGAGGTCAGTAATTATTCCTGGTTTAGCCAGGCTACCTTTATTTCAGAGTCTCCCTCTGGATACTGGAATGTCTTGGTCTACTTCGGAACTTGGGCTGTCAAGGTTGCCATTGTTTTTGAGAACCCTGGTTGGGTCTTTCCTATCCAATTCCACTTTCCCAGGACTTCTCTTCTAGTCCTCTTTTGGACTGCTTCTTTTTCAAATTACGAAAATTGAACAGTCATTATAGAAGACTTAGAGTGTCTTCTATGTGCCAAGCATTGTGCCAGATGCTAGGGGTATAAAGACAGTACAGACATGGCACGAGGAATGTAGAATCTAGTGTGGAATTTGGAAAGAGCAGGTATACTTAGGGCTAAAGACCAGAAGTTCAAACCCATAATGCCACTTCCTAGGGTTTTTTGGTGTTTATACAGAGCCTGGCAAATTTTTCCTTAAAGGGCAATAGAGTAAATAGTTTAGGCTTTGCAGGCCATATGACATCTGCAGAACTCTTCCACTCTACTGTGGTATCAGAAAAGCAGCCATAGACAATATATAAACTATAAGTATGACTGTATTCCAATAAAACTTTATTTGTAAAAAACAAGTGGTGGACCAGATTTGGCCTGTGGACCACAGTTTGCCAATCCCTGACTTACACTCTCATGGAATTCCATTTCTTCATCTTTAAATTAAAATCCTTTATCTTTGAATCTGTCAGATTTTTATCTTTCAGCTAATTTGAGTCTATGTATTTTTTTGTTATAGTAATATATGTTATATAAAATATTCTAACAGTACAGAAGTGTGAAAATTAAAAAGAAAGAACTGACTCTTATCCTCACCTCTTAGTTCCACTCTGCAAGAGTAACTAACCACTGTTAATATTCTATAAATACTTTCAAAAATTCATTAGGAAAAATTTTTTTAATGTTTTCAGCCATGTATGAATAATGCTGTACCTGTTTGGCAGCTTACTTTTTCTCTTAATTTTATGTTGTACCTTTTTCCATACTAACATATGTAGAACTCCTTAAAATGTTTTTTTTTTCATTTTTTAAATAATAAATACATTCACATGGCACAAAAATGAAAAAGTATTAAAGGAGTAAATGGTAGCAATTTATTTTCCAACTACTTGTTTCTTTCTGGGGGACAGTTGTCTCATGTCTCTGTGTGTCTCTTTGCTTCTTTACTATTCCATTATATGAATGGATCATCAACTGTTCATCCATTTCCTTAAACATTTGGGAACTAATTTTTATCCATAAAAATATGGCTGCAATGGAAAATTTTATACACAGAACTTTGTGATGTGAATGTAGGCAATTCTTTGTAGGCCTTAAAATTTTTTGCCTAGTAATTTTATTTTCCCTATTTTTCATTTTGAAAATTTTCAAATCTATACAAAAGTTGAAGAAATAGTAGTCATAAAAATTCATATACTCTTCAGTTGGATGTCCTAATTATGAACATTTTGCTACATTTTCTTTCTCTCTCTGTATACATTTTATTTTGCATGTGTGACGAACCATTTGAAATTCATAGACACTGACATTCCATAGCTAAGTAAAAACTTCAGCCACCCTCATTTTGAGATCTGAGGATTCACAGAAAATAGAAGCTTACACTTGAGCATGCAGTTCCTAAAAATAAGGACATTTTTCTTCCTATGCATCCACAATAACATTATCACCACTAGAAAAATTAATACTAATATCATAGTCTTGCCATTTTCAAATTTCTCCAATTGTCCCCAAATAGTCTTTTATAGCTTTATGTTAAAAATGAGGATGTTTTGAGTTTTACCCTTTGCTTTCCACTGTTATATCTTTTTAGTCTCTTCTAATCTTTGCTTTTTCTGAGAGTCTACACCTGTTTCTTAACCTCTCAATTAAGAGACTGGAGAATAGGATCCCCACATTCTGGATTTGTCTGATTATCTTCTTATAGTGTCATTTAACTTGCTTTTCTGTCTTCAATTTCCTGTAATCTGGAAGTCTTATCTAGAGATATGATGAAATTTCAGAATAGGCATTCTTTACCAGAATATTCCAGAAGGCCCAGGAGGTCAGGTGGTTCCTTGCAAGCTGCTGTTAACAATGCCTTATGGGTGAACAGAGAAGGGCTGCCTAGCCTGGGCTGCATGCCCCACCCTGAGCCCCTTGGTCTGTGTCCTGGCAGAATCCCTTCCTCAAAAGCCTGTGGGCCATTCACCAACTTCAACACCACCTGGGAGGTGGTCCCCAAGACGGTGAACACCTTCCCCAGCTCACTGCAGTCTCTGGTCCACGGCATCACATCGGAAGCCTTCGCTGTGCCTTTCCTCATGATCATATGGTGAGTGAGAGCTGCCGGGACCCTGTGAATATTTCTCATCGAGGCATGTGGCGAAATGGCAGCTCACCTGCTACACCTGATGACCTTCTGAACCTCTCGGAGCCTCACTTTCGCATCTCCAAAATAGACGTAATGGTAATTCTTTCAGAGGGTCATTGAGCAGGTTCAGTAGGAGTCCACATGTAAGCCATTTAGCCCAATGCCTGACTTATAAAAACCTAATAAATGTTGCCTATTATTAATCAATATTACTAATAATTCACAAAAAAGCTGGCTTGCTCTTTGAAAAAGTAACTGATTATTCAGCAGAGAAAAGAGCACCAGGTTACAAGCACGCACTTGAACCATGGCTCTAGACTTGTAAGCTGTGTGGCCTTGGCTCCTAACATATTCTCTTTGAACCTGTTCCCTCACCTAGAAAATGGAGGTAAGAATGGCACACACCTCATAGGGTTCTATGAAGAAGGAAATATGGTTAACACATGAAAAGTGTTTAGCAGAGGATCTGGCTCTTAGTAAGGGCTCAGGGAATGACAGGTATCATATGCAAGGGTGACAATGGTCTTTGCTGCACAGTGATTCATCTTGAGTGTTAAAAGTAATTCTAATCACAAATGTGTATTAGAGCTTACTATGGGCTAAGCACTGTTCTAACTACAGTCTATTATTATTCATGGATTCTGTATTATGAATGTGCCTATTTGCTAAAATACTTTTGTAACCCCAAAGTCAATATTTGAGGCAGTTTTCATGGTCATTTTTGGACACACAGAGAATAGCAAAAAATCTGCATTGCCTAATGTTCACCGTCTTACTCTTTTTGGGCTGCTGTAACAAAATATCATGGACTGGGTGGTCTATAAACAGAAATTCTCACAGTTCTGAAAGCTGGAAGTACAAGATCAGGGTGTCAGCGTGGTTAGGTGAGGGCCCTCTCCTAGGCTGCAGACTTCTTGTGTCCTCACATGGAGGAAGGCACAAGCAAGCTCTCTGGAATCCCTTTTATAAGGGTACTAATCCCATATGTGGGGCTCCATCCTATAAACTAATCACCTCCCAAAAGCCCCACCTTCTAATACCATCACCTTTGGATTAAGATTTCTACATATGAATTTTGCAGGGACACAAACATTCACACCATAGCACACATACCCCAGCTGAGGTCGAACAGCTCTGCCTTCTTGTTTCAACTGTCATACTGTAAATAGGTGTCCTTCTTATGAGGCATTTAGTGCCACATTTCTTGCATTTTGTGCTTTGGGTTGGTGATTTTACTGTTTAAAATGGCCCCAGTGCTGATAAGTATTCCTAAGTCCAAGAAGGCCATGATGTGCCTCATGTAGAAAATATGTATGTTAAATAAGCTTCTTTCAGGCTAAGTTATAGTGCTGTTGGCTATGAATTCAGTGTTAAGGAATCAACAACAGTAAATAACATAGCTTTAAAAAAACAAGATTAAGTGTTGATAACCTTCTTTCTCAGTAAATGAGACACATAGACAGGTATTGATCAGGTGATAAAAACATGTGACCAGAGATTCAAGGAACCTAACCCTGTGTTTCCCCTGAGAGAACTGGTTTCGTATTTTCCTAATTCCATGCTCACAGGAACTTTACAGAATACATCTACCACAAATTGCTGGAATTGATTATAGTTTACATGAATTAACTCATGATACCATCACAATTACCCTATGACGCAGATATTGTTACAGTAAAACCCCACCATACTGCAAGAAGTGGACCGCAAACCTATTAAAGGTAAGACACCTTTTGAGAACTGTGCAGCCAACCAGCCTGGAATTTCAAGGATCCTGCGATCCAGCCTAGGCTGTTCAGCGCTGGTTAGCCTGGCACCACGTGGTGGTGGTTACCTAATCTGGTCGTTCCCGTCCTGTGGTCGTGGGGACCTCCAGAAGAGTATCACTGATGTCAGCCATTCTGGTGGCCTTTGTTTGCTCAGCCCTATCCAGGGGGATTGGACAAGAAACCAGCTCCCTGTCACTGAATGAGGTTGCCTGTTGTTTCCCTAGGGGCTTGCCCTCCACTACATGTACCCCTCTCCCCAAGGTCAATCACCTCCATTTGAGATCAGAGACTACACAGAAGATGGGAGCCAGTGGCTCTTCCTCAAAATTGCATTATCCTAGGCTTGTTATCCCTGAGTTTTCCTATGTTATCTCCATTTTACAGATGATGAAACTGGAGCCAGAGAGATTCCACAGTGATCATCCATAGACAATTCATTCCAGGCCAAGCTGACTCTATGGGCCATTTCCTTCTCTCTCCCTACTATGTTGCATGTGCCAGAAGGACATCACAAACTTTTAATATTCACTTAAAGTCATGAATCGGTCTCTGCTGCCACTGTCAAATAAAACCCCATCTGGTGGTTTTGGATGCTCTCCGCTTGGGAGAAATGAAGGGTTTCTTTTTTCTTTTTTTCAAACAAAGTAAAACTGTTCCAGGCAAAACATGTCAGGTTCTTTTTCTAGTGGCCTTCAAACAGCACAGACTCCCTCATGACCTCTCGCCTTGTGTTGCAGCCTCGTCATGTTCTACTTTATTGCCCTGGCTGGAGCTCATAAGCGTGTGGTCGTCCAGCTCAGAGAGCAGCTGTCTCTGGTAAGGAAGCGCATGTCCAGAGGGTCATGGCCGGGGGCATTCGCCCAGAACACCAGATGAAAAGCAGCACTTTCCCCAGGGGTGGTGTGGAATGCTCTGGCCTCTTCTCAGCACCACACCCCCAAAACTCTGCCTTCACGCTGGGTCTTCTCCAGCTTCATTCATTCACTCACTCATCCATTTCTTCATCTTATATACTGAGCACTCTCTGTGCCTCATATTGTGCTGGGACACAGTGGTGATGAAGGGAGTCAAGACTGCTAAGTAGTTAAAGAACAAAGATAAATTACGAGAACAGTAACTGCTATGAAGATGACACAAAGTAGTGAGAGTGACGAGTGGGCCAACGACAGCTGTAGGTGCTGGCCACAGAAGGCCTCCTGAGGAGGTGACCCTGGGGTGAGACTTGAAGGACGAGAGGGAGCTGATTATGGGAGCATGACAGTAGGGAGAGGGTACAATGAGGGGACAGGCGGGGCACTCCTGGGGGCCGCGGCGAAGGGTGGTGGGCTGGAGAGGCAAGATGAGGCTGGAGTATCCGCGGGGGTCACAGCACAGCCTGAGGGCTCGGGTGAGAAATTGGGTTTAATTCTGAGTGTGATTGAAAGAAAGCCACTGAAAGGCGTTAAGTAGAAGCTGATGTAAATACTGGCTGCTTTATGGACAAGGGGCTGTGGAGGGAACAAGTGTAAAAGGCAGACCAGTCTGGAGGCTGTTACAATCCCCCAGTGGTTCAGACCTTAGCCCTGAGTCTGACAGGTAATTTACTAAGGTCAAATAATATTTGTTTCCCAAGATTTTGAATGTGCTCTTGAACCTATTTCTTTTCTTAGGAAAGTCGTGATAAGCGTTATCTCATCCAGAAACTAACAGAAGCCCAGAGCAATATGAGGAATTGATCCGACTGACAGTGAAGACCCTGCTACCTGTTGCTTTTAAGTTGACCCAGTGACCTGCTGAGCCTCTACAAAGTCCACCTTGGTTTTGACCGGAAACTGTAAAATATATTTTTCTGGAGCTCAGGCTGTTCCTGAAAGTGGCCCCACATGTGCAGCTGCACTGGCCATGTTTATGTAACCCAGCCCCGATTTAGGCCTTCAGTGACTTAGACAAAGCAGGCTCAAAACCAAGTCTTTGCCTGCAGACCAGCCTCTCAGTGACTCTACCACAACACTGACTTATAAAGCCGCTGAAGCTTTTACAACAAACGCTGAGGAGGAGAGACCTTTCCTATCCCTAAAAGCTTATTTGTAGTGTCTCTTCAGTTCATTGTAGAGGTCATCTGCTCATGATGCTGGGCTATTTCTTTTGAGCCAGGTTCTGGAGCCTTAGACTGAGAAGTACTCCATAAGAAGTAGTGACCCTTTTGAACAGTTCTGGAGACTTAAAGTGGAGACCCGATTTTTTAAAGAAGAAAAGTCTTTGGATCATGATGTTTGGAACAGATGGTGGGAACATGAGAGGATGATTATATAGTTTCAGCCCTGTGGTAGTAACATGAGTGAGAAAAGCCTGTGTCTGAGCAGTCTCTGAATGCTCAGGATTATGCCTTATGAAGAGGGGATTGCTGTGAGGTGGTGGTGCCTTGATTTCTCCGGGAGGGCTGCTTTGAGGTGCTGGCAGCCGCAGGCCTTCAGTTCCCTTCTGGTCCTGAGTGCTGAGACTTAGCACAGGGCCCTCGCCATTAAAATTAAGGCAAAGTTTGTCCCTCCATCTTCCAAGTCCCATTTCCCTTCCTGCACTAAGCTCTCCATTTCTGAAGGATACTTAACATTTCAGAGCCAGGTTGGGAAGGGCTGCTGAGTATCTGAGGTGTGTACAGGTTTTGAGATGTGGGCTGCAGCAGCAGACTGGCCTGTGCAGGTGTATCAGACTAGTTGAATACTGGTATCTTAAACACACATATCCATATGTTTGAGGGCTAGTGTCTGTTTTCTTAGGCTTCAAATTTTTAATTTGTATCTCTCAAGATTTCTGTTACAGTAGAAACTATATGCAACGAATACCTCATCATAAGCTTAGCTGAAACTGACAGCTCTAAACCTTTTAGTACAAGCCGAAGTTACTGTCTTTTTCAAAGTACTGTTGTTTTGTAACAGACTGTTTGAACCTTCCTTCCACTGTTGTTCTTGCTTCCGTGGCTCTAAAGCTTTCCTGGGGAGAAGCCTAGAATTTAAAGTTGGGTGCAGCTTTTGGGAAGCTGCTGCTGTTAGGACTATTTTCCAGCCACACCTCCCAGCCATTACTCAAAAATGGAGAGCAAAGTGAGCCTGCCACAGCTTACACATTTCTGCACTACTGTCCCTTTGCCACACCATTTTGTTGCTCTTCCACAAAGTTAGTATTAACATGGTATATTTTTGTATCTGTGAGACTGATGAGCTTCTCAAGCTTTTCCTGTCTTGTTAAGATTTACAAATTTCTCCATCTGTTAAATAATACCATGAAATTTTGAGTAACCCAAGAGTTCACTCCATCCTTACTTTAAAAAAAATCTTGAGTTACTGGCATTTCTGCCTAGTGTATTTATATAATGTTCTTGCCTTCACCGTGCTTCTGATGAGTCAAGTTTTTTTTTTTTGTTTTTGTGTGTGTGTGTGTGTGTGTGTGTGCGTGTGTGAGAGAGAGAGAGAGAGAGAGCGAGAGCAAGAGAGAAACGTGGAAGCTGTTTTCTTTATTATAAAGCTGACACTGAAATATGCTAATATATTCATTTTAGTTAAATGCTGCTGATTTATATTCCTCTTGAGTGTTTTTATATATTTTGATAACTTTAATAACTTCAAGTGATATCCATATAATTGTTAAAGTGCAGCTCTAATAAATGTGCATTAAAACTACTGATTAAACAGTATCTTAAAAATTTTTTAATGTGATCATGTATATTTGAATTCATGGAGGTTTCTTGTTACCAATTAAGTAATCATGGAAAGCTCTTAACAGTTTATAAGTTGCTCTTTGCCTTTTCCAAGAATCACAGAGAAGGAAATGTTTAATGCAATTATCAGATGAGAGCTTTTAAGACTCATTGGCTCTGTTGAAGCCATGGAGAGGTGTATATGTTTTAAGAGCCATGGAGGGGTGTATATGTTTTAAACTTAAAATTGTTTCGAGCACTTCCCACCCCACCTTCCTAGAGGGAACCACTGCTAAGATGTGTACTTTCCAAGGAAATTATGATACATATTGAAGCAGATATAGATGAGCAGTTGTATCTGTGAAATACATATTTCTGAGCTCCTTTTTTTCTCCTTAATAACATTTTGAATATTTTTCCATATAAGCAGCCACCTCATTCTTTTTAATGGTTCCATAGTATTCCGTGTATCAACATATAGAGTTGACCCTTGAACAATATGGGTTTGAATGTATGGGCCCAGTTATATGTGGATTCTTTTCAATATGTATATATACTGGAAAATGTTTTGGAGATTTGTGAGAACTTTAAAAGCATTTTCTTTTCTCTAGTTTTATTGTAAGAATACAGTATAGAATACATTTAAGATATGTGTTAGTCAACTGTTTATGTTACAATAAGGCTTTTTTGCCCTCATATACATACATTACACATTAGTAGTAAAGTTTTGGGGGAGTCAAAAGATAGTTTTTTCAACTGTCTAGGAGTCAGCACCCTAACCCCTGGGTTGTTCAAGGGTTAACTGTATACTTCCAAAATTCATGCCCTGCTGGACTTAATTTGTTTACATCCCCCGCCTTCCCCCACCCCTTACAAACATTGGGAACTGGAATTTTAAAAGTCTCTACAAGCATTTCTCTATTTCTCTGTTCTGTCCCACTCTGCTACAGGCTCTTGTTCTTTATCGAGGCATCCTAGCATGTCCTCACAATCATAAAATATTCTCATCCTGGCAAAGAGAAGAATCCAGTCAGGCAGGTCTTTACTTTGTGTTAACTCTTAAGCTGGTAAATTCCTGCAGCTACATATCTGATTGCAGCTACCCACTTACATAAGTCCTGGAGAAGAATTAATTTTGTCATGGCGGCGCTGCAAGGTCTAATCCCTGGGAAGATAGAACATCTGACTGTATCTTTATGCAGGGTATGGCTTTACTAGTAAATTCCATTTGGCGTATTGTCTTCCAGTTCATGTGATGTGCTCGGGAACAGCTTTCCTGCGTGCTTAACTGTGTGATTTTGTACAGGTATCTTCACCTAAGTTTCCCATATCTTTAAAATGGAAAAATAATACATTCACCCTTATTTTTGAGGTTGGAATTAGGGAATAATATGCTTCTTCTTTTTGAAATATTGTTTTCTCATTAGAAAAATACTTGTTCATTATAGAAAATACAGAGAACACTGAAAGCTATAGAGAAAAAAAATAAAATCACATATAAGCACCATTTATGGAAATTTTACTGTTAATCTTGGCAAAATTCCTTGGAAGACAGAAAGTACAGAAAGAGGGAGCAAGTACTAGAAGAAAAGAAAAACATGTTGGTATTCTCATTTCTTTTGCACTTCACATAAATGTTTTCTTAGGTTATCAAAAGTTCTTTTTAAACATTTCAATGGGTTACATAACATCATACAGATGGATCATTTTTTTTAAACATTCCTTAGCTGCTTAACATTTTGTTTGCAAATTTTTATGACAATAAATAACTGGGACATCCATAAGTCTCTGTCAACATTTTTTCTTCTCAGGGACAGAGACCTGAAAGTGGAATTGCAGTAAAGGTTTAGAACATTTTAAGGTTTTTGAAAGCCAGATTTATACTCTCAGTAGCTTTACATTGAGAGTGTTTCATCATCCTCATATTTGGGATTAAAAAGATGTATAATAGATCATCGTAATTTTAAACTATTGTAGTGTGTTAATTTGAGAATTACCAGCTTCAATTATTTTACAATAGCAGTGTATATTAAATGTTTTATGGTAGCTTAGACAAAAGATATATATAATCCAAGGGTGTCAAGTAGAAAACGAAAACCACCTTCTTACAATTCCAACCCTCTGAAGTTACCAATATTGTTTTGCTACATATCTTTTCAGATAGGCAGCTTTGATTTTTTGCCCTCATATACATACATTACACATTTGAAATTTTTGATTCTAAAGTAGGACTGCTGTATCAGTGGATTTTTTTTTGATGTCCAATTTTTTCGTAAGCCTTTTTTTTTTTTTCAGAGCAGTTTTAGGTTCATAGTAAAAGTGAGAGGAAGGTAGCGATTTCACATATGTTGCCTGCCCCCTCCTACCCCCACAGCCTTCTCCATAATCAGCATCCCACATCAGAGTGGTACATTTGTGGCAACTGATGAGCCTACATCCACTTTGGGTATGCACTTTTTAAAGTATTTGCTCCTAAATCTCCTCACCTCCCCGAAAATCAATTTGCACCAATATAGACGCACACCAACAGTAAAGTGGATTCAAGGGAAAAAAAAGTTACCTGCAGAAAATCTAAAATTAGAGAAAAAGACTAGGAAAGTCGGCTGTCAGCCCCACTATCTATAGAGAGAGCGCTATTGACCATGTGGTGAATTTAATTTCACGTAATTTCTACCATTTTGAAGACTTAAGATACAAACAGAGAAGAATCTCCTTCCATGTTGGTAAAGCAGAAAACACGATGGCTCTGCCCATAATTCCCTCTTGGTCCCCTTTCCCAGGAATTTAGGGGAGAAACTTGACCCTGTCAGGATCTTTGAGAGAGCAATACAGCATTCTCATCTCCCTGGCAACCCTCGTCACCACACCGCCGTCGGTCTCCTGAATGACTGATCGTGATCACAACCAATAGAATCTTTTCGTTTGCCTTTTCCAACCAAACCAATGGAAGCAGGCGTCTTCCTTACCTCACCACTGCGTACGTCATCAGTCTGAGCCGAGGCCACGTTTGGCCCGCTGCGCTCAAGGGTGCGGTTCCCCTGTAGCAGCAATGAGCTGCGCTGGGGCGGCGGCGGCGGCTTGCTCCCTGTGTCAGCTGCCTACGGGCACTTGTCGGCTTATCTCAGGTAAAGAAGGAGCGCGGCGCGGTCCCACGCTGCGCGGACGAGACAGGGAATTTTTACTCGCAGTTTGGGCGAGAGTCACGGGGGAGACGTTTAATACGTCACAGGGCTGCGACGGAGCGCCCCTGCGAGACTTGGAGCGCTCTGCGAGATTTGAGCCTTAGGGGTGCAGGCGAGAGGGACGGGGCTTGTAGTTTGCTGCGGAATAGCCTGCGGGGCAGGGGCGTGGTGACGTTCTGGGCCGTCCTCTCGGGCTCTGGGGATTGCCGTAACTGTACACCTGCGCCGTGACGTCACTTAAGGTGTGGTTGGTGTTCAAGGTGAAGGACAGTTGGCACCTTGAAAGTTCAGTGTCCCACGGGTATCATCGGAACCTCTGTTCAGGGCCTTGCCTGGCCAAGCACTCCTGCGACCAGCAGCATCGCGCCCCTGATCCCAACTTGTTAGAAACCCTGATTCTCAGGTCCCGTCCCTTTCTACGGGCATGCTATAGCTGTATTTCAGCCAAACCTTCCAATGATTTGTGTGCACTACAAAGCTGGAGAAGCACCAGGGTAGTAGAAGCGTGGGATTTGGAGTAGGGAGACTTGGGTTTGGATCCTGGCTCCTCTTCAACTCATTTCATCTCAGCTGCCTCGAAAAATTGTGAGGTGGTTTTCTCAAAGCTAAATTATTTGTGTACCACCTTTAGGATTTTTGCCTTATATTAATACAACTTACACTTTTGATTACTAAATGTGTTTTATCTATAACCGTGTTACATTTTTGAAGTAAGTAACTTCAGGGAAACTAAATCCTTAAGGTAAAAGGAAAACAAGTATCACCTACCCCAATTAATCATTTTAAAAAGCACGCTAAAAACGCGTTACTAAATTGTATTAGATACTGTTGCCAACGAAGCTTAAGCCCAAGACCATCTTCTTTCTGGTGCAAAAGAGAAATTAGGAAGTGTTAGGCAGATATTTGTAAACTTGAGACACTCTCCTTGATGAAATCAAAAGAATTGGAAGGAAGTTAAAAGAGAATAACTCTTACTACAGGAGTGTTATTTAATGTATGCCCATAAACCACTTAAAATCTTCCCACAGACAAAATCTCCCAGGCACCACCATTGGTATGTTTAATCCTTTGGGAAAACACCAACAGAAAACTGTGCATTTAAGAGCTAGCACTAGGCCTCAGTTTTATTTTATTTCTTTCTCCCTTTTATTTTAACGTGTGTGGCAATGCAGGCAAATCTCAGAGGACTGTTGAACATGAACTTTAATGCTCCTTCATGGAGCCAGTGAATGTAAGAATAAGAATCTTTTTTTTTCATTTATAAAGTTACTTGGCTTCCTATATCTCATTTTATCTTCATAACGACTCAGTAAGAAATGTTTTTTTATTGCCTATTTTCCCTTAAAAAGGAAAGAATCCGATTATTGCCAATTTTATGTGTAAGAAATGGTGATTCTGATTTGTCCAGGTTAGTGTTAGAGACAGGACATGTTTTCTGACTCTAGCTCCACACCCATTCTGTGGTCCAACTCATACTATTATTTATTATTTTTAATTGAGATATATTGTTTATATTGGTTTCAGATGTATGACATAGTGATTTGACAATTCTATACATTATGAAATGCTCAACATACAAAGAAATTACAATATTACATCTCATACTTTTTAAAGACACCCTACAGAGATGCACAAGATAGAAATGGAAAATATTATAATATCCAGACCTACACACACACACACAATCATTTATTGGGTGCCTGAATCTGGAAAGTGGATCAGTGCTAGGGAATAGTCTGGTATTTTTTCAATACAAATATAATCCTAACCCTAACCATCAAAAGTTAGCTGTGTGTCTAAAATCATTGTATATACTCAGCCCCTTGCTGTTTACCAGCAGTTGTTTTTTTTTATTTTAATGAGCACAGGCTTGTCTTTAAAGTTCTTTCCCATTAAATGTTTTGAGTAGGGGTAATACATTAAAGAACAAGCAAACAAGATTATTTTGACAAATAGAACCAGCTCATCATTTTCAGTGTCAATTACTGGGGCTCATCTTTGTGCAAGATTGAGGGATCACCAGTTCCTGGACTTGGAGGCAACCACTTGGGACAGGCTACGTTAACTTGTCAGATGTCTCAAGTTGTTCTCCACATAAAAATATGGTCACAGACCAGTAGCCCTCTGATGGCACAGATCTGGGCCATCACGCTTCGCAGAACTTGGACTCTCTCCAGTTTCTTGACTCAAATATGCTCCGTGAGGTGGAGCAGGTCATGAAGAGGACTGGATCAAAGCTGGGTCACCATGCTTCAGACCCCCATGTCCATGCTCCTTTGTTTAGAGTGAGGCATTTAAAAGCCCACCTGGTCAAAAAGTTACAATGCAGAAGCAGCCCAAATTCTACCTGGTGTTCAAAGCACAAAGTTTTTGGTGAAAAAACTACAGATGGACCCAAAATGAAAATTTCCACACATTTTCTGGGTGTTGAAATGAGCCTAAATAAAAAGAGGTACCTAAAAGACATGGTAGTCTGTGGTTCTCGACCTTGGGTGCACAGAGCTTTTAAAAAATATCAGTATCCCCCTGCCAAAGATCGATGGGGAGGAGCATACATGGTTTAGAAAGCTGCCTGTGGGTTCTATGCAGCCACAACTGGGAATGAAGCAGTGGAAGACCTGGAGAACCTTGCCCATCTAGAGGCAGCTGCCCCATTTACTGGTGGGAAGACAGGCTCAGTATTTCTCGATCGTCATACACTTAAAGCAAAGCTAGAAATCCAGATCTTTAGGCAAAATCTGTTTTAAGTATTGGTAACTAATTCACTTTTTAAAAGGAACACTGCAGGTTAAACAGTGGGTGTATCTGACCTGGGAGACCCATTTGTGACCTGTGTTGTAAGGTGCCCTTTTCTTCTGTCTGTAAGAGGAAACATCTCCAACTTACCTGAGAATAATGAAGAAAAAACACTTCCATTGCAGCTTATGGAAGAAGAATCAGCATCAGATTTTGCAGTTCAGGAATGACCTTAGATAATATCAATCGGGCAGCTGTGGATCGAATAATCCGGGTGGATCATGCAGGTGAATATGGAGCAAACCGCATCTATGCAGGGCAGATGGCTGTCCTCGGTCGGACAAGCATCGGGCCTGTCATTCAGGTGGGCACTTCTTTATCTGTCTCAGCCTGGTCCACTGCACATGGTGGAGGATCCAAATAGCCAGTGAATCGCATTAGGGCTTTGTCACGGGAGGTGCTGTTATCCCCAAGAGACCAAAATTGGTTATTAGGGTGGGAGAGTGAAAAGCATATTCTTCATTTTATGTATAAAGCATGGGAAGACATCAGCAGATACACTGCATATCTGTAGTATTAAAATTATGAAAGGGCCGAGATCCACTGCATTAGGGAGAAGTATCAGTTGCTAAGAGAATGTGGTCCTGCCCCCATGGAACCCAGTGGAGATAGTTTTTATTGTATAATCAGAGGCAGAGGGCAGATCCTGGGCTTTGTAGTTACACAGACCCAGGTTCACATTCCAGCTCTCTCCCACTGCCCTCCTGTATGACCTTGGGGAAGTCACTGACCTCTCTGGGTCTTCATTTCCATTTCTGCAGGTCACTTTCTTCATCTGTATAATGGGCATCATGTTTGTCCATCACAAAGCAGTTGTGCAGATTAAATGAGTTGCCCACATAAAGCAATTGGTGGTGCCTGGTCTTTAGGATGTGCCATTTAAGTGTCAGCTCTTATTGTCATTCTCCCTTTTCCTTTTGAGGTAAATGATACTTATATTCTAGCACTCTGGAAGGAAGTTACACAATAGATGATATTCTACCCTCATAATTTTGAAATGAGCTAACATCTCATTTCTCACAGATATGAACCCTAATCTTTTAATAGGCATGGTGGGGGCTGAGGAACTTCTGCTGGAACGAGGGTTTATGGCACACTCGTCTGGAACAAGATAACAAGCTCTTCTCTTGGTTTGCTGGCGCTCTCTTCTCCATATCTGAGATTCTTTTTAGGCTAATGTTTTCCTTTTTTCTTTGATGATTCAAAGGAAATGGGGGATGCAGCCCTTTTCATCATTTTTTCCATTTCCGTCTTGCTTCCTTTATCCCACATGGACAGGGCACATAGCTTCCTTGTGGCAGGAGGCCTCTGGAATGCTTGCATGTCTTTATTTTCCTGTTTCTTACAGAAAATGTGGGACCAAGAAAAGGACCACTTGAAAAAGTTCAGTGAGTTGATGGTTGCTCTCAGGGTGCGGCCGACGGTTCTGATGCCCTTCTGGAACGTGGTGGGGTTTGCTCTGGGTATGTGCGTCCAGAAGATCACATTATGCAAGCTTAGGAATCTGGGGTGATTAAGTTGTCAAAGTACCAACTCCACAGTTCTTGCTGTGCCCTCTTACAGCCGTTTTATTTACTTAGTATTTTTCTAAAGTTAAATTGACTTTCTTTCTTGGCTTATATTTATGTAAGGTAGAATCTTAAAATCAGGACTTTTATAAATAGAACATACAGTAAAAATAAACACAATAGAAAGGAGATAAAGCTAGAGTGTAGGCATAAATTATTTTATTTCCCTTTGCCTTGTAGTATTTTATTACACTATTGCACTTCACAGGTATTAAACATTTTTTACAAATCTAAGGTGTGTGGCAGCCTTGTGTCAAGCAAGACTATCGCTGCCATTTTCCCAACAGCATTTGACCATTTTGTGTCTCTTTGTCACATTTTGGTAATTCTCACAATATTTCAAACTTTTATTATTATTATTATTATTATTATTATTATTATTATTATGGTAATCTGTGATCAGAGATTACAACTTGATGAAAGCTCAGATGATGGTCAGCAATTTTTAGCAATAAAATATTTTTTTACATTAAGGTATGAACACTGTTTTTTAGGCAATGCTATTGCCCACTTAGTAGACTACAGAATAATTTAAACTTAACTTTTATATGTCCTGGGAAACCAAAAAAAAAATGCATTTGACTCGCCTTGTTGTGATGTTTACTTTATGGCAGTGGTTTGGAACCAAGCCTGCAGTATGTCCAAGGTGTGCCCATAACTCACCTGTAGCCAGGTGATGTTCCCCAGCAAAGGTTCTGAACCTGAGCTCTGCTCTCTCTCAAAAAGGGAGAAGAGGAAATGGCATGGGAGAGTCCAAGACAGACTCATCCCAAGTGTGGGCTTTCTCCTTGCCGTAATCAGAAAGCTAGAAAGAGCACTGAAGGGAGAATAGCATTCTTACTATGTGATTCAGGGTTTAACACTGTGACCTGGTACCGCCTAAATCAGTGGTTTGCAATGGGGGCAGGTTGCTTCTGAGGACCCTTGGCAATATCTAGAGACATTTCTGGTAGTCACAGCTGGGTGCACTACTAGCACCTAGTGGGTGGAGGCCAGGGACGCTGGTGAACACCCTACAGTGCACAGGATGCCCCCTCAGCAAGGAGTTACCCAGCCCCAAAGCCCTTAGGGCTGAGCTGATAAACCCTGACCTGACCTGCTGTCCCTTACCAGGGCTATCAGTCCATCTTTACTGCTCTGTATTTGACAATTCCAGGTGCAGGGACCGCCCTGCTTGGGAAGGAGGGAGCGATGGCATGCACTGTGGCTGTGGAAGAGTCCATAGCACATCACTATAACAACCAGATCAGGAAGCTGATGGAGGAAGATCCTGAAAAGTATGAGGAGCTTCTCCAGGTATTTGACTCTATTCTGGAAAGGGCCTGATTAGGGGGGAAAGGGCAAAAAGGCTGTTTGGTAAGAAGGAAAAAAATAGCATGTTAGGCAGTGATAGGGCCTCAGAGACCTAGATCAGCACCTCATTTTAAAAGCAGGCAAACTGAGGCTCAGAGCTGTGGCTGTGTGCCCTGGTGACCTGCTCAAGTAGAGCTGGGATCAGAACCCACATTTCCTGAGCCCAGGCCCGTTTCCTCTCCACTTCCGGGTCATCACAGATTCTGAGTGGGTGCTGCAAGCACAAACCCTTCAGATCACGTAAATGAACTAACAGATAAAGTTTTGGTGAAACACAGCCATGCCTGTTTGTTTGCTGCTGTCCCCTCTACAGTGGCAGAGTTGAGTAGTTGTGACAGGGTCCTTACAGCCTGTAAAGTTTAAAGCATTGACCCTCTGGCCCTTTATAGGGAAAGTCTGCCGATCCCCTTAGGTGGTAATATGAGACTTTAGCCCCAAAGAACAGCAGGAGAGTCGGAATGCTAACTTGCTTCAATTTCTTTTTATTTAACCAGGTGATAAAGAAATTTCGGGATGAAGAGCTTGAGCATCATGACATAGGCCTTGAGCACGACGCAGAGCTGGTGGGGACCAACCTTTACTTTCTGCTTGGCGTTGGGGCCCTTTACTTGGAAGGTTGATGGGTGGGAGGGTTGCTGTTCCCAGAAAAATAGATTTCAAAGTGACTGCCGAAGAAAGGAAACCAATACACTGTCTTGGCAAAAACCTAGCAAACGCATTGCTCCCAATTGGGAATTATTTCTTGGCTTCTCCCCATACCCTTTGTCCTCGCAGCTTCTTTTCCCTTTCTGGGGAAAGAAGATTCAAATTTCTTGGCAGTAACAGAGACATTCCAACCTTTTGAATAGCTTTTTTTTTTCCAAACTAAAGTAAATTGTTTCTTATATCTTATTTCTTATCCAGAGAAGCCCCAACCCTGCCATGCCAGGCCTCTATCTTAGAACTAAGAGTGAACACAGTACATATAACTTGTGTCTTTGGTTTACTGCTGTTCTTTTTAACAGGCTCCAGCATATGCTGTTCTGAAGAGCATTATCCAGGCCGGGTGCAGCGCAGCAATATATTTGTCAGAAAGATTTTAAAGTATGTGCACTTTTCCCTGTCTGTATAAGATGATAGTAATTTAACAAGTGACAGGGGCAGAAAAGGAAATGAATGTGCAGTTACCTTGCTGTGAATTTTGCTAATAAACTGCAAGAGGTGTTTTTTTCATTAATCAAACTCTTCAGTGTTGGTTTTTTTTCTGTGCTGCCATTTGCCACATGGCTAACCATCACCATGTGCCTTCAAATTACAGCTGACCAGGCTGGTCCTTGCTTGGTCCATAGTTAATTTTTTCCTGACACATCAAGAATGAATCATGAAGAAGATAACAAGAATCTTCAAAAGGAAAAAAAATGTCGAGTTTACTTGTAACAAAAGGTAACTTAAAACATCAAGATGTTTTACGATTGACGAAGCAAGACTGTCAAGTCCATTTGGATTTGTGGATTGGGGGCAGGTGACTTCCATCAGAGAATATATGAAGTTGTAGATTGTGAAGTTGAATTATGATAATTTCCTTTAGGTCTGTTACCCAAACAATGGACCAAAACTGACTAAAGTTTTCATACTTTGTTGAAATCTTTTATGACTTGCAAATTTTTAAGTAACTTATGAGGAACCTAGATCAGTGCTTCTCCTTTCTGGCTATATATTAGAATGTCTTGCAGCACTTCTGAAATTTTTTAGATTATAGACTGACTTTGAAAGTCAGTCAAAAGTCTGACGTTTAGGGCTGGGCCCAGGATCAGATTGTTTCAAAAGCTCCCAAAGGACTCTAGTGGGACTCAGAGCTGGGAGACTCTGCACCAGATCGTAAGCTTCTCATGGTTGAGAACCACATCTTTTCAGTCTTTGTCTCTCACACTCAACACCCTGTGTTTCATCACCAGCTCATAACTGGGCATGACTTGCCTCAAAAGGGTCTAGTTTTGAAGGACAATGAACACGGGATAGTTGAGGTGAGTCATCTATAACCTCCCTTCCAGGTTGTAGATTTTAGATTCCAAACTCGCGCTAAGTTATGAGCAGATGTCTGTAACAATATAGTTGGTTTACAACTGAAAAGCCAAGTTCCAACACATTTTTTTCCTCATGTCCCCATTATTTTATAAATGTGCATTTGTGTCTTTTAAGACCATGAATTTATTGAGGGCAAAACATCTTTTCCAGTTCCTAAGCAGCTGCAGAACTGCTAGGAAAACAGCCCCATTGGCCGATCTCCCTTTCTGGATTTCTCAGTGCCAGAGGGTCCCAGGAGGTGATCCTTGGCCCTATTCTGTTATCATTTTTCTCTTGGTATCTCATTCCTCCTTGTGGCTGATGCCTCCACATGTGTATCTCCAGCCCAGATTTCTTATTTTCCAATATCCCACTGCCTGCCTGTCCCCTCCCCTTGGAAGTCAAAGACAGTCTCAAGCTCTGCATGCCCCAAACTGCACTCCTCACCTCCCCACCTCCCCATTAGGGCTTCCTCATCACAGTTAATACCAACTGCACCCTTCTGATTCTTAGGCCAAAATGTCTGGAGTCACCTCTAACACCTGCCTCTATCCCACCCCCATCCAATCAGCCAGCACATCCTGTGGGCTCTTCTAAATCCTTTTCACTGCTTCCATTGCTGCCACTCGGGGCCCTGGATTATTTTAGAAGGCTCCTAACTATCCTTCCTGTCTTGCCCTGTCCTCCCATGATCCGTTTGCAACCCAGCAGCTGGAGTGATCCTTTGAACCATGAGCCAGACTGTCTTCCTTCCATTTCCCCAGTTCCTTCCAAATAAAAGTCAAGTCCTTAAAATGGTGTAAAGATCCTACATGATGGGACCACTCCCTCCCTTGCTCACTCTGCTCTAGCCACACCAGCCTCTTAGCAGTTAAAATATCAGTCATGAGCCAGCCTTGTGGTCTTTGCAATGGCTGTTCTCTGCCTGGAAGGCTCTTTCCCAGATATACACATGTGCGAATCCCTCACCAATTCCCCAAGTTATTGCTCAAATGTCACATTTTAAAGGAGGCCCACCTGACCACTTTTTTCAAAATGGTAAACCCCACCCCACCACATGCCTCATCCCCCTTGCTCAGCTCTGCTTTTTCCCTCTCCTGGACTTAACCACCTTCAAGCACATTATATAATGTACTTACTATGTTTCTTACCTGTTTCTCTCTGCAAGAATGTAAGCTCTGTAGGACAGGAATTTTTATTTTAACTACTGACACATAATAGATGCTCTATAAATAGTTGTTGATGGGATTGAAGGTTGCTATACCTTATTAGAAGTGATTTTCACATAATTAGTAATTCCAGACTACTCCTATGCATAGTCCTCAGCAAAATTTAGTGGAGATTTATTGAAAAGATGCTACCAAGCCAGGCTGGGCCCCGGGTTCCAGGTCTGTAGAATATGGTTTGCTACAGAACTCAAAATCTAGCTAAGGGGGAAAAAAATGCTACCAGGAAACTAAAGCACAGCTATTTCCTGCGCTTCTTACTCGTGATTTAAAATACATATATACAGACTGGATAGGCATATGCCAAAGAATGACTTTGGACCCTATTTCACAGCATATGTAAAAATTAACTCAGATGGAGTAAAACTTTAAATGGTAATGCTACAACTCTAAGGGTCTTAGAAGAAAGCACAAGGGTATGTCTGTGTGACCTTGGATTAGGGAACAGTTTCTTAGATTTGACTCCATCAACATAAAACCTTTTGAACTTTCAAAGAACACTATCGAGAAGGTGAAAACACAACTCACAGAACAGGAGAGAATACTCGTAAGTCATATCTGAAAAGGGATTTGTATGTAGAATATATAAAGAACCCTTACAACAACAATAAGACAACCCAGTTAAAAATAGGGAAAGGATTTGAATAAAGGGGTCTCCAAATAAGATACATACATGGCCAATAATCATTTGAAAAGATGTTTAACATTATTAGTCATCAGGTAAAACCACAATTAGATACTACTACTAGTATGGTTATTATAAAAAAGATGGAAAATAACAGGTGTTAGTGAGGATGTAGGGAAATTGGATCCTTATACTATGCTGGTGGGAATGTAAAATGGTGAAACCCCTTTGGAAAACAGTCTGGAAGTTCCTCAGTTAAATATAGAATTAGCAGATGATAGAGTAATACCTCTCCTAGGTAAAACCCAAAAGAAATGAAAATATATGTCCAAGCAAATACCTGTACATGAATGTTCATAGCAACATTATTCATAATAACCAAAAAGTGGAAACAATACAAACATCCATCAGTTGGGAAGATACATAGTCTATCTGTATAGTGGCATATTACTCTGTCATAAAAAGGAATGAAGATTTTGGGAAAATGGCGGCATGAGTAGGGCAGCAGAAATCTCTTCCCAAAACCACACCTATTTTTGAAAATACAACAAATAAAACTATGCCTAACAGAGAGACCAGAGGATACAGTACAACAGCCAGGCTACATCTACATCTGCAAGAACACAACACCTCATGAAGGGGGTAAGATACAAGCCACGGCCGGGCAGGACCCAAGCACTCCTCCAACCCCAGTGGGAGGAGAGGAGTTGGAACAGGGAGGGAGTGGAAGCCTAGGACTGCTTAATACCCAGCCCTAGTCATCAGCACCGGGATATTAGGGAAATGGAAAAGTAAAACCTGCGAGCGAGTCCCCGCAGCCAGCTCCCCTGGGACAAAAGAAAAGGGAGTGCTTTTTGAAAGTCTTAAAGGGACAGAGGCCTCACATCTGGACGGAATCGTCATGGCACACGCAGCCCAGCAGCTGGGAATCCCGGGGAACTTCAGGTGCCCTAAAACCTCCTGGGTGGCAACACAGCTCTGAAGCCCCTCACAGTGATAAACAGCCTGCCATTCATTCCCCCTCCCGTGCGGCCCCGGCAGAGCAGCCTGAGAGCGGCTGCACCCACAGAAGCTGCCCAGAGCCTCCTCCCAGCACAGAGCCACATGGGCCAGACCCAGAGCCACCTCCAGTGCACAGCTGCCCACCGCAGGCAGAGGAAGCCAGGGCAGGGAGTGAAGGGGCACCATTCTTGCAGGAGAGCACACCCAGCACACTTGTCACTCCCCACAGGGCTCTGGGCTGCCCCGCCCACCAAGGCTCAGGAAACTAACCCAGAGACTGCTCCTGGTATGCGAGTAACCAGCACAGACAGCGGAGAAGGGCACGGCAACCAGAAAGCAGGAAGGGACTTTGTTCTCCCAGCTAACACATGTGCTACCTGCCTACAACTACCTCTATCGCCATGAAAAGGCAGAAGAATTTGGTCCAGTCCAGAATCACCAAGACAACCCCTGAGAGAGGACCTGGGTAGATAGATATAACCAAACTTCCTAAAAAAGAATTCAAAATAAAGGTCATAACCATGCTGATGGACCTGCAGAGAAATATGCAAGAACTAAAGGATCAAGTTAGAAGGGAGAATACATAAATAAAACAATCTCTGGAAGGACTTAAGAGCAGACTGGATGAAGTGCAAGAAACCATTAATGGAATAGAAATCAGAGAAAAGGAATAGAGAGAAGTTGAGGCAGAGACAGATAAAAGGATCTCTAGGAATGAAAGAATGTTAAAGAGAACTGTGTGACCAATCCAAAGGGAACAACATTCGCATTATAGGGATACCAGAAGAAGAAGAAGAGAGAGAGAAAGCGATAGTGTCTTTGAAGAAATAATTGCTGAAAACTTCCCCAGACTGGGGGAGGAAATAGTCTCTCAGACCATGGAAGCCCACAGATCTCCCAACACAAGGGACCCAAGGAGAACAACACCAAGACATATAATAATTAAAATGGGAAAGATCAAAGACAAAGACAGAGTATTAAAGGCAGCCAGAGAGAGAAAAAAGGTCACCTACAAAGGAAAACCCATGAGGCTCTCATCAGACTTCTCAGCAGAAACCTTACAGGCCAGAAGAGAATGGCAAGATATACTTAGTGTAATGAAACAGAAGGGCCTTGAACCAAGAATACTTTATTCAGCATGATTATCATTTAAGTATGAAGGAGAGATTAAACAATTCCCAGACAAGGAAAAGCTGAGGGAATTTGCCTCCCACAAACCACCTCTACAGGGTATTTTAAAGGGACTGCTCTAGATGGAAACACTGTTAAGGCTAAATAGATGTCGCCAGAGAAAACAAAATCACAGCAAAGAAAGCAGAC